TGGAAAGCTCAGTCCAGGAGGGATTCTGAGGATGGAGAGGCACCCAGGGTGTGGTCAAAAGGCTGGGGACAGATTTTGGTTTGGGATAAGAGATGTGAGCAGGGGGAAAAGCACAGTCCAGGAGGGATTCCAATGATGGAGGGGTACCCAGGGAGTGGTCAAATGGTTTGGGATGGGTTTTGGGTTGGGATAGGGGATTTGAGCAGGGGAAAAGCTCAGTCCAGGAGGGATTCCCAGGATCAAGGGGTACCCAGGGTGTGGTCAAAAGGCTGGGGACAGGTTTTGGGTTGGGATAGGGGATGTGAGCAGGGGGAAAAGCACAGTCCAGGAGCGATTCCAAGGATGGAGTGGTACCCAGGGAGTGGTCAAATAGTTGGGGACAGGTTCTGGGTTGGGATAGGGGATTTGAGCAGGGGGAAAAGCAGAGTCCAGGAGGGATTCCAAGAATGGAGGGGTACCCAGGGAGTGGTCAAAAGGCTGGGGACAAGTTCTGGGTTGGGATAGAGGATTTGAGCAGGGGGAAAAGCAGAGTTCAGGAGGGATTCCAAAGATGGAGGGGTACCCAGGGAGTGGTCAAATGGTTTGGGACAGGTTTTGGGTTGGGGTAGGGGATTTGAGCAGGGGAAAAGCAGAGTCCAGGAGGGATTCCAAAGATGGAGAGGTACCCAGGGAGTGGTCAAATGGTTTTGGGTTGGGATAGGGGATGTGAGCAGGGGAAAATCAGAGTCCAGGAGGGATTCTGAGGTTGGAGAGGCACCCAGGGTGTGGTCAAAAGGCTGGGGACAGGTTTTGAGTTGGGATAAGGGATTTGAGCAGGGGGAAAAGCTCAGTCCAGGAGGGATTCCAAGGATGGAGGGGTACCCAGGGAGTGGTCAAATAGTCTGGGACAGGTTTTGGGTTGGGATAAGGGATTTGAGCAGGGGGAAAAGCTCAGTCCAGGAGGAATTCCCAGGATTGAGGGGTACCCAGGGAGTGGTCAAATGGTTTGGGACAGGTTCTGGGTTGGGATAAGGGATTTGAGCAGGGGGAAAAGCTCAGTCCAGGAGGGATTCTGAGGATGGAGAGGTACCCAGGGAGTGGTCAAATGGTTTGGGACAGGTTTTGGGTTGGGATAGGGGATTTGAGCAGGGTTTTGGGATTAAGAACAGGTTGGGTGTGATCTCTAAAATCCTGGAGAGTTGGCTCAGAGCTGTCCATTTTCAGCAAGTGAAGGAACAGGAAGGAATTTCCTTTTTTTTGGGCCATCCCCCCCATCTCCCTCTCTCTCAGATCGCTCTGCTGAAGATCCTGCTGGCTGCTGCTCCCACCTCCAAGGCCAAAACCGACTCCATCAACATCCTGGCCGATGTTTTGCCCGAGGAGATGCCGTAAGTCCCTCATCAGGTGACATTGGCCACCCCAGCATTGTCACCGAGCCTTGGACCGAGCAGGAGAGAGGATGGGATTGGGGGGCTGCAGATTTGGGGTGTCTGTTTGGGTGGGTGTAAATGGGGGAACTGTTTGGGTGGGTGTAAATGGGGGATCTGTTTGAGGGGTGTAAATGGGAGATCTGTTTGGGGGGCTGCAGATTTGGGGTGTCTGTTTGGGTGGGTGTAAATGGGAAATCTGTTTGAGGGCTCCCAAACAGATACCCCATTTACACCCAAACAGGTACCCCAAATGTGGAGGCCACCAAACAGATACCTCATTTACAGCCACCCAAATACCCTGAATCTGGAGCCCCCCAAACAGATACCCCAAATCTGGAGCCCCCCAAGGAGATTTCCCATTTACAGCTACCCAAACAGATCCCCCATTTACACCCACCCAAACAGACATCCCAAATCTGGAGCTCCCCAAACAGATTTCCCATTTACACCCACCCAAATGGATACCCCACCCCAAATCTGGAGCCCCCCAAACAGATACCTCAAATCTGGAGCCACCCTAAAGAGATTTCCCATTTACACCCACCCAAACAGACACCCCAAATCTGTAGCCCCCCAAACTGAAACCCCATTTACACCCATCAAACAAATCCCCCATTTACACCCACCCAAACAGATACCTCAAATCTGGAGCCCCCCAAAGAGATTGCCCTTTTACACCCATCCAAACAGACACCCCAAATGTAGAGCCCCCCAAGCAGATCCCCCATTTACACCCACCCAAACAGACACCCCAAATCTGGAGCTCCCCAAACAGATTTCCCTTTTACACCCACCCAAATGGATACCCCACTCCAAATCTGGAGCCCCCCAAACAGATACCTCAAATCTGGAGCCACCCTAAAGAGATTTCCCATTTACACCCACCCAAACAGACACCCCAAATCTGGAGCCCCCAAAGAGATTTCCCATTTACACCCACCCAAACAGGTACCTCAAATCTGGAGCCACNTTTACACCCACCCAAACAGACACCCCAAATCTGGAGCCCCCAAAGAGATTTCCCATTTACACCCACCCAAACAGGTACCTCAAATCTGGAGCCACCCAAAGAGATTTCCCTTTTACACCCACCCAAACAGACACCCCAAATCTGGAGCCCCCCAAGCTGATACCCCATTTACAGCTACCCAAACAGGGGAGCTCAGGAATTGGAATGCTCAGGAAGGAGCAAATCCCTTTAGTATGATGAGGATGACTGGATGCTGTGTTTGCAATCTCTGATTTAAACATTACAAAAATAAAAACAGGCTTCACGTGCCTTGTGCCAATTGACCAAATCATACAGATATTTCACATACAGGAATATGTTTGGGTGGGTGTAAATGGGGGATCTGTTTGGGTGGCTCCAGATTTGGGGTACCTGTTTGGGTGGATGTAAATGGGGGATCTGTTTGGGAGTCTCCAGATTCGGGGTGTTTAGGTAGCTGTAAATGGGATATCAGCTTGGGGGGGCTCCAGATTTGGGGTACCTGTTTGGGTGGGTGTAAATGGGAAATCTATTTGGGGTGGCTCCAGATTTAAGGTATCTGTTTGGGGGGCTCCAGATTTGGAGTGGGGTATCCGTTTGGGTGGGTGTAAATGGGAAATCTCTTTATGGGATTCCAGATTTGGGGTACCTGTTTGGGGGGCTCCAGATTTGGGGTGTTTAGGTAGCTGTAAATGGGGTACCTGTTTGCAGGGCTCAACATTTGGGGTATCTTTTTGGGTGGGTGTAAATGGGAAATCTCTTTGGGGTGGCTCCAGATTTGAGGTATCTGTTTGGGGGGATCCAGATTTGGAGTGGGGTATCCATTTGGGTGGGTGTAAAAGGGAAATCTGTTTGGGGGGCTCCAGATTTGGGGTATCCGTTTGGGTGGGTGTAAA